TTATTACACTGATAAGAGGATAATTAATTATTACACTGATAAGAGGATAATTAATTATTATACTGATAAGTACTCTAATATTATGGAGCTAAAAATAATTACCTCCAATATGACAAGAATACTTATGACAGTCAATGACATTATTATTTATTTGGATGGCAAAAATATTCTTCTTTACCTTTCTCTATTATGAATAATGGCCATTGGGCTTCGAGTTCAGATTAACAGTGTCCCAACAGGCAATTACAGTCACCTGCCAATAAAATACATTCCAATAACCTCTTAAGATGCCGCATATCTCATACGTGACAGGCTCCACTCATATGGTGAGATGTGTGATGTCTGATCAATTAGGAGGGAATTGATATGTGTTTTGTTGGTAGGAGTTCTCAAACTTAAATGATACGGAAGATATTTTCAATATGTGCCTGCAGGGGCTGTTGATATAGTGTTGGGAGCATTCTATTGATAATAGAACACTAGGATTCCGCACGCATTGCTTTTTGATTGTTACATTCTGGAGTAGGAATGTATGATTAGCATTTCCCTAATTGGTAATGAGAAATGCATTTTTTTGGTCCAGCCCAACAGGGTTATCTGGTCCGGCCCACAACTGACCAATCAATCCAGTATGGCTGCACACCTGCACCTGCATGGTAAACCTACTGATCACCGGCTGGTTTCTTGGAGCGAATCCGGATTTCCTGTTTACAAGAATTTTGTTCACGTTAATCATAGTTATACATGGAGGATATCTCATCCTCTATATAGTATTATGCAGGGGGAGATGTTTCCAATTCACAGGGGATAGTGTATTACGGGTAGGCATGGGCAGAATTTTCGTGGATAGAAGATCCGAAATCCCTTTTAACACCATCGCTTAACAGGCAGTAGTAAACATGCCCTCACATACTTCATCCAATTCAGGATGGGACCATATAAATACATCAAACGCCACGTATTCACAGTTTTAGCCACAAGCTATATTCCAACAAAATCCGGATTCAGTCCTCATAAAATTTGTATTCACACTATCCTCACAACACTTTCAGCCCTATATTAAAAAAAAAAAATACAAATATTAAGATCTTCCAAATGCACGGCTGCAAGTGTTGTGAGCACTCCCTTGTGACCCTAATTGCTGATTTATGAGTCCGGCCTCTACTGAGAATCTGAGACCGTAGTTGTGTATCACAATAGCACTCCCTTGTGACCCTAATCCAACATGAACACACCAGCATTGAAATAAAAACAGCGGATGTGAACTTGCTTAATTGATTAGCAAGGCCGGGTCATTTGCCAATAAAATTCGTTTCAACACCCTACTAATATCATCTGACATCATACATCTCATAAATGACAGGCCCCATTTTTATGGTGTATCCCAATTTAATTTGATAGTGAAATGGGTGGTGTCACGTCGAATTGATAAGGCTATCAACTGATAGGGTGTGATTCGAATCTTAGATAGAACCAATTTCAAACCGATTACTAATCGGGACAAAATGACAGACCCAACACCATCCCGGGTTGGACCCAATAGACCATATTATACTGAAAACTATATTTATTATTTTAATAATAACTTAAAATTTAAAACTTGATAATACAACTTTAATTAAAAATGATAAAAAATTATTAAATTATTTATATGTTAATAAATTAAATATTTTTAACTACTATTATCTTATTTATTATCTATTAAATTTATGATTTCAAACATAAAATATTCTAAAAAAATAATATATTAAATAAAATAATTGATTTTAGGTCTGAATTAATTTAGAATAGATAAAAACAAAAACTAATCCAATTATTAATCAGAACAAAATCAAATCATAACTATTATAGTCGATTTAGGCGATTAAGATTCATCGGTTAGAATCAACCCATTGACAGCCCTACCTGTTCAACTATATGTTTATATATAGCGATCTCTTGGTTCCACTCTTTCAAAATTAGGGTTTTCTTTTCCTTTTTTTTTCTTTTTATTTTTTTTAACGCCTAGATTGGATCACACTCCAGTGAGGGAATAATAAGTCTCTGACATTGAGGGTCAGTTTGGAAAAAGTACAAATACAAATATGTAAAATATAACGATATACAAAATAATACAAAATACAAAATACAAAATTTTGCTTTCTACATATTTATATTTATACTTCTTCCAAACTAAGCCTGAACAGAGAGAGAAGTCAAATTCTCTCATCTTTACTCCATCCGTGCACGCATATCTTATTACTATTCCCGCATTTTCTCTTAATTTCTCCCTATAAAAAAAAGAAATAAACACATAATTTTAAATTTTCCACAACTTTAATTTACACCTGACCAGATTTCTCAATCATGTGAATGTTTGGCTGTTCTTGGCGAAAACGGAGAGCTTGTTTATTCTTCTCGAATTATAATTCTATGATGAATTGATGGTACTAGCTAAAGATATTATATAATTAATTAAAACAGCATAGAAATTAAAACACTGACTTATACACTTAAGGGACACACTCGTTTCATCAACCTACGTCAAGCAACAACATTATTTAACTATTTTATTCATAAATAAAAGAAAAAAAATATCCAAAATGTCTAAATCAGTTCTAAATGTTTCTTAAATTATTTTTACTGTTTAATTTATTAATTAACTATATTTTTATTGTTTATATATTATTTTAAAGTATTCCTAAGTTTTATGACATCATGTGAGTAATATATTTTTTAAAATCCTTAAAATACCCTTTTAAAAATCATCACACTCGTACACAATGAAAATCCATTCCTATTCCGTACGTCACTGTCTTCATCTCCGACTTTGATTTCATGCCCACTTCCGTCTCCATCTCCGACTCAACTCCAACTCTGACCCCATCTCATCTCATCATCGTCTCCAATTCTGTGTTCATGTCTGTGTCCGACTTCAACTCTGACTCTGTCTCATCTGAAAGTTCCCGATTGCTATTGCGTTCCCCACCTAAAAGTTCTCTAAGCTCTGGCCATTCATTTTTTTTTTCTAATGTATTAAGTGGACAAAATGCAAAACCAAAAAGTTGTAATCATTTAAAATGGGATGGGACGAAGAAGTCAATGCAACCCAACATCAAGATGTTAAAAACTTAAAATTAACAGAAAGAACAAATAAACATTGGTCTGGGTGTGATGGAAGCACCATCCCGACGATCACCTATCCATTTCCGGCACCAGCGACACCACCAGCGGACCCCTCCACCTCTGGCCTCTACCTCTCTCTCTTTCTCTCTCTAGCAACGGTCGGAAATCGCGGCAAATCACCGGAGGTGCCCATTTGTACACCTATCTACTTGCAAAAAATTATTTCATCATTCTCGGGTAGATTTAGCAAATTATTTGGTAAATCTATGAGTCATATTCCTTGGCTTTCGAGGAGGAGCAGAGGGTTTTGAGCTCATGGCTAAATTCTGCTATAATAATGGCATAAATAGATTTTGAAATGAATACACAAATAAATAAAGAGAGAAAAAAGTAAAAATGTATTGGTCTTTGCTTGCTTCAAAAACCCTTGAGGACAACGTTCAAGGGTTTTCTTCTTCGATTGACGATTGACGATTTTGTGTGTTTCGGCATCTGTTTATACTTTTTCACTCATTTCTAATAAAATCATTATTGATTTCAGATCCAAATCTCTCGTCATCCGTAAGTCCACTTTTCTTTATCTTACATATACCTAAGGCGGTTTTCATTCTTTCTGATTCTTGGAGAAGAGTCAGTTCAAGCTATGACTTTCAGATTGTTATGCTAAATTCGTGGCAGATCTATAATTTCCTTTTCATGGGTTTTGGAATATTCAGTCCATCTTAACATGTGTAATTTTTATGATCAGAAAATCATTTCTGAGTTGAAGCTCGTTGGACGATCTCAGAGATATCAGTGGTTGGAGGAGTGGGGTTTTTAGACCAGCTGGGATACCGGAGGTGAGGAACTTCCGACGCTGTTGGTGTTTGCAAACCAGCTTAAAAATGCCTGACATGCAGCCAACGCTCTTGACTTGATGGTTTTCTAGCACGGTTTCCCGGTGGGATGAAGACGAAGAAAGCATGCTTTCTCGTCTCATCATCGAAGGTTTTGAGGGAAACTTTGGTGATCTTCTTTTAGTAGGCCTCGATTCATATCTCCCTTGATTCCAAGCGAGTCTGAATATGTGAGGTTTGTGAACAAATTTGGGCGAGCGTCACCTGCAAAGCCAATGCAGCTGCTCTCCACTCAGTGTGGCATCGTTTTAATTAGATGCGGTGAGGAAGAAAGAGGGAGAGAGAATGACTTAAGGGCAAAACAGATATTTCCATCTCTTCAGTTACAATTTAACGGTCATAGTAATTAAATTATACTATAAAAGTAGTTTCAAAAATTTGCCTATAGAATTAATATAAAAACTCTTCTCTATTAATAAGATTTTTACATTATTTCTAATAATCTCCAGAATTTAAGACCATCCTCTTTTCTTTATCATTTTATTTTTGTAATTGTGTGTGGGATGTGGGAACCCAGCGAAGGGAAGGGTTTTCATTTCTTGTCTGAGAAACCAAAAGGCGTGCAACATGTGCTACAATCCAAAACCCATCCATCACAAATCCGGAAGAGTTTGGTTTTCATTATTTACAAGGGAGCCCACGTTTCCAAAATATCTGATCCATTAAAAAGCACGCAACATATCTGACGTGGACACAAGATTTCTTGATCCACCTGGCAAGCTGAAATCCATCAATATCTCCAGGTGAGTCCCATGCATTCTTGCCAGGTGTACAATTGCATCAACAGTAGACCTAGCTAGCTAAGTTATGGTCGTCAAGGTTCACTAGAGATTGAGTGAAAGCGAGGATCACCAGCTTTTGAATTAATTGGTCTATTTGGATTATTCAAATTTCAAAGTAATGATTGATGGGTTCTTGCGTATAAATTACAGGTTGGAAACCAAACTCTTTATAGAATTAGAACGTGAGCTTATCCGTGAGCAGAAACGAACACGCTCTGTCAAGAGTGGAACTTGATTGATCTACCGTGTTACCACAAACAGTACTTTGTCAAGGTATCGTGCGGCAGACTCCATGTCTGAGGGAGGCGGTGGTAACAGATTTCTTCTTCTTAAATTCTCTCTGCAAGGAGCAATAGAGAAGAACGAAGCTGATTTTTGCGTCAACTACAGTTAATATATTCCTTTTTTTTCTCTATATTTTCTCAGATCAGAAGGTTTATTATTATGTGGCCCAAGTTGAAATCATCTCTGAGGAAAGGTGAGATCTTTTGTTCGATCGGCTCAGAACTTGGAACTAATTCATCAAGATTTTTTGTATTTCTTTCCTTCAACTTTCAATCAGATTGTTGTAGTGTAGTAGTTAGTCTGTAGGGTAGGGATTATTCCGTAGGTATTGAGAAGATCTTCATGTTCATGGGTTTTGAGGATAGAAAGGACTGAATTTAAAAGATTTTGCTTATGGGTCCAGATTGAGATGAAAAACCCTTCACCTTTTGGATCGAATTGCTTCAATGGATCCTTTGGATCTTTGGTTTTTGATTTGTGGTGTTCAATTTTTCTGGCTTTCTTAGGTGGTTCTCCTTCTCCAAGACAGCAAGTTGGGAGTTGCGTGGGAAACAAGTTAAGCGTGAATGAGGAATACATGGAAGCCTTCAGGACCAAGTCTTACATAGACATATGGAGCAAAGTTCAGGATCAACTGAGAACATGCACCACAAGCGAAGTAGAGAAATCCTCCCCTTTGTCTCCTTTCCAGTCCTACGCCCGTCTCTCCGATTTCTTGCTCGAACCTCGGCAAGAGATCCTGATTGAATTGATCGAAAACTCCCATCTCCATCACCTTCTCATCGATTACTTCGACGGCAGCTTAGAAGCATGCAGAATCTGTGAACTCCTCCTCCACAGAATCAATCAAACACGCAATAATTACTGCATTATTCAAAGGATTATGAACCTGACAAAGACGCTCCCAGCAGAATACTGCGATTACACCGACGATCAGTGTCGAATTATATTCCGTGAACTCGACTCATTCGCGACGCTCGACAACCCGCTTTCCGACACAAGCCCGGTGCAATTCCGTTTACTCCATGAAAGATATGGATTGATGCTGAAGCAGCTAACCTTAAAGCGTAGAAGGATAATCAGAAGAGGAAGGTTGATCCGGTTAAGCAAGAACGGTGCTGGATTGAGCCTTGTTATCGCTTGCGGTGCACTTGCGGTGGCGACCCTAGTTCTTGCCGTGCACACATTGATCGGCATTGTGGCGGCACCAGGGATACTAACTTTCTCTGTAGCTTTCATGAAGAAGAAATTGAAATCTGCTCGAATTGGGCTGAAGACAAGCAAGCTCGCAAGGCTTGAAGCACAGCTCGACGCAGCTGCTAAGGGGGTTTTCATACTGAACAGGGATTTCGACACCATCAGTCGGCTGGTGGTGAGGTTGCACGATGAGATAGAGCATGGCAAGGCCATAGCTAGGATGTGTTTGAGGAGCCAGAAGAGGCAGATACTGGAGGTGGTTGTGAAAGACTTTGAAACCCATGAGTCTTGCTTTCTGGAGCAGCTGGGGGAGCTTGAGGAGCATGTTTACTTGAGTTTTCTCACCATCAATAGAGCTAGGAGGCTGGTCATACAAGAAATAATGGTGCACCCACAATAACAATTGCACTATTGAATTCAGATAGATAGATATATTGACTGTGTTTCTGCTAACAGGTATGATGATGATGATGATGATGCATGCATGCATGCATGGAGATGATGGTGATTTATAAGTTGCCAATTAAGTTTGACTGAATCCAGAACCTGTGAGAGTACTGCTCACTCTAAAGAATTAGTTTTGTGACTTGGTGAATCTACCTGAACAAGATGACTCAAGCCTGCAAATTAAATTAAAATTATTCATTGGTTTGTTAGCTTTCAGTTCCTTTATTTATTTTTGGAAATACAATGAATTGAAGAGGTAGATATGAGTTCATTTGATTGAAGTGATCCCATAACAAGTCTTGTACAGAGAAGAGAAACATGTTTGTATAGACAATATTCTTTTATTACAATATATAAATTCATTTTTGTTAATTAGTTTTCCACATACTCTATGGTGATGGTCTCTATTCATTAATTATTAGTCTACGTGTCATTCGATTCATTAATTTGAGGGGCTGGACTTGAAGCAATATCAGAACATCAGAATGTGCTCTTGGATTGGCATGGATATATGTCTACTGAACCGCTTGATCAATAAGAAATTAAACCTGAAAAATCGTATCAACAACATGCAGCTAGCCCCCATGAATTTTTTACAGGTTTCAGTACCCACTGATCGATCAGTAAGTCATTATCTTGGAAATGACATTTCCCAACGATTTCATTTTGCTGGAAACAAGGAGAAGAGACATGCATTCATTAATTTGCTAGAAACAAGAATATATTGATGTTGGCCTTTTACTTGGTTCTTAAGCAAAAAAGAATTTAGCATGATAAGCTTGGCATTACTTGATGAACTTAGCTATGACTTGTTAGACCCTTTTACATGCCCCATATATGGGAAAAGCTGAATTTAATGAACTGACTATTAGTTGAACTTACTTCTGGGAAAAGCTGGAACCTACATTGGGTGATGCCATTTTTTTACTTGCCGGGACCTACATTGTGTGTGTGCGGCTTTTTTTTATAAATGTGTGTATGGTTTTTTTTTTTCTAATAATTAATTAAGGTGTTGCTTTTCGCATTTTTTATTTTAAGGATTCATCTCCTTTTTATAGTTAAAATACTCTTACAAATTCTGAATTTTTAACAACAAAAAGTAGATAAATCACTGCCAAATGCAACCTAAATAGCCATTCTCTACCATATATTGAAAGTTTCCTATAAAGAAAGCATCCGCTGACAATCCATTATTATGGCTTAATTAATGGACCTTTGGTAACTGTATTACTTTGTATTAAATAATAGAATGATATCTACTTTGTTCAGGGCAAGCCCGTGGTCACACTGTCTCAACGGCCTCTTGCAATTTTGTATTGGGAATATTTCTCCATCAAATGAAATATATAAATATGAAAATATTCTCAATGCAAAGCTGTAAGGACTGTTCGAATGGGCGTTGTGTTAAGCAGAACCCTAATAGAATATTCATGATATAATAATCAATCCGATTTGAATTTCAGATAGGATAAAGGAGCTCATATGTCACAACCTCTTTTCAAATTTATTCACTAAAAGATAAAAGCAATATTTCTTTCGGTTCAGCTACTTCAGCTGTTATTAAATAGCCTCTTTAAATATATGATCAAGCCATTATTCTTGGAAGAGTTTGTTTGATTGGCCTAAAATATGTCTTCAAACCAATGTTCAGAGAACCGAACTGGTTATAGAACCAGAGAAAAGAGAGGTTCAATTGGAGTAAAATCATGATGCATATATATATATATATATATATATATGTATGTATGTATGTATATGTATATATGTATGTATATTATGGGGTCATATAAATACTATATATAATATATTTTACAACTTTTAATACACTTAACTATGGTAGATTGATGGTAATTTCTTTAACTTTAGGGTAAATTACAAAAACCTCCCTTCAAATTTCTCACAATCATAAAAACCTCCCCTCAAGTTTTACTTTAACAAAAACTTCCTCTAAACTTTGGAAAAACTCAACACAAACCTCTCTTCTGTTATTAAACCAAATGAAAAATGTTTAACTGATATGTTATTTTTTAAATACCTATTTTACCCTTTTATATATGATTTTATAAAATTTTACTAAAAACTTATTAATAGTTAGTAAGGGTGAGCAAAAAAACCGAACCAACCAAACCAAAAAATCGATTAACCGAACCGATTAATATATATATTATTTTTTACTTTTTTTTGAAATTCGATTAAAAGAGTTTGACGGTCCGAGAGACTGCCGCCACTACTAGTCTGGCAGTGCCAAATTGCCAGTCTAAGTGTCTAACAGTTTGGCATTGCCAGTTTGAAACTTTGAATTGAAAGTTGGGCAATGCGATAGTCTCCATTGCCCATCGGTTTACTTTACTCTTTGTATTCCCCAATGAAACAATACACAAACTCACAGAGAAGCTAACCATACCTCTTCTTTTTCTTCTGATTTTCTCTTCCTTGACTTCCTTATCTTCTCCCTAGTATCGTCTCCATAATTCAACGCTCTAATCTTTGAGTATTTCTGTATATTCATGCACAATTATAGATCCAGGTCATACGGGGATGGGAGAATGCAGATGAAGAGCTTCTACTCTTTGTATTCCCTAATCCCCAATCTAGATGGCCGTGCAACCCACACCAACCACCAGCATGACAGTAGCCGCAGCACCAAGTGGTAATGCTGGTCGCCGCCTCGTCAACAAGCAAGCACCAACGCAGCACCAAGCCCATCAAACAGACTTCTGTCTCTCTTCTCTCTCTATCACTTCTCCTCTCTGTGTCTCCGCCAGACTTCCGATAACAACCACCGGCACCGATAACAACCACCATCTTCATGAAAAATGAAAAAAGAAATGAAAAATCCACCATCTTCATGAAAAATCCGACACCAACAGCAACCACCGAGTTACCGACAATTTTAATTTTTTTTTTTTTATTTTAAGTGCATAAAAAATTAAAAAACCAAATCGCAATTAACCGGTCCCGATTAACCGATTGCATCGATTCGGTTTTGATTTAGATATTTAAAGAACCGATCATATCAGTTCGGTTTGAAAAAATACCCAACCGAATCGTGAGCACCCCCTAAATTGGTTAGACAGGACACAGAACTCGTGTTGCTTCTGGTTATAAGGCCGAGTCCTAACACACCCACGAAATGAAACCAGCAGAAGCTAATAGCGGCTCTGGTGGCCCGAGAAGAAAATGCTGGCTCTCCTGATCAAGGTTGCGAATGAAGAAACCCAGCACCATCAAAATTGTCCCCGTTCAAATATTTCCATTTCTCCAACGTCATCCTTCCCCAAAAAGCACAAAGCATAGCAATAATCACATTCTCTGCTAACATGGAGGCTCTCGAAGAAATTCACAAAAAGCAATCGTGCACTTTCCTTCACTCATTCACAAATTTTATTTTCTATGTTCTTTTTTCCTTAGATTAACAGGGTTGCTCTTCCTTTCCTTGAATTAACATCAATAGAAACTCATCTCTACGATGAAAACCATCTCTGCAATACAACAACACCCACTGGAAATCTCGCAGAGCCCCAACCACTTATGAATAGGTGAAGGCAGCTTCCACTAAACAACCACTGAAATTATCATTTAATAGTAAGACCGACTACCAGACGCCGACAATCGCACCCATCCTTAGCGGTAACTCCGCTTCACAAACAAGCTATGACCCCTGACCCTCTCCCATTCACAACCAAACGAATAGATCCACGATCCAGATCAAATCATATCGTATCAGATCAAATTTTATCAAGCTTCACGGCTTTGCCGAAAGGCTTTTCAAATCGAAGGTACAGTCGTGCTGCTTCGGGTACCGGTGTGAACCACAGAATGTGATCCTGCATCGGCACTTGAACCTGGTCAGTTTGACAGACATACTTCGGCTGCGGAGCCACCGAAGGTGACCCAACGGATGCCGGCACGAAGAGCAGATGATCCGCGGGGGTTTCATTTGAAACTTTTACAAGTGGATGAGAAACAAGACCGGTTGACAGGGCAGCAGAGGAGGAAGAGGACAATGAGGCAGTGAGGGATTTCTCGACGGCGATCTTGGCGGAGGATGCTTGTTCCTCCTTGATGCTTTGGTGGCGTTGGGCTTCTTCATTCGGAACCTTGACCAGGAGAGCCAACGTTATATTCTCCGACCACCAGAGTCACTGTTAGTTTCATTTCGGCCCTAGAGGTTCGTGTGCCCTATCTTTTAAAATATATAAAATCACGTATAAAAGGATAAAATAGGTATTTAAAAAAAAATAATAACATATCTCTCAAATATTTTCCTGTGATTTAGTAACAAAAAGGAGGTTTGTGTTGAGTTTTTTTATTAAAGTAAAATTTAAAGAGAGATTTTTACGATTGCCAGAAAATTCAGGAGAGGTTTTCGTATTTTACCCTTAATTTTAAAGACAAATGACATGACATAGTTTCATAAAATTAGAAGTGATTTACCGATTTTGCAGTTAAACCAGAACCGGATTTTACCCTTAACATTGTTTTAGTCAGGTCAGGAATCAAGATGCTTGAATTGGCTTCTAGTTCTATGGGTATCCGTACATTCGACAAACAATTGAAGACAGCCAGCTGCTACTACGAAAGTAGGTTTGATTGCAGTGTTCAGGCTCAGGGGTCATGAGAGTTGCAGTCTTGGAACTCTTACACACAGAGGTTGATCCAACTTATTATCTGCCTATTCATATTCATATGAGCATTACTCGCATTAGAGACATTCATTGTCATCAACTATGCCTTAGATCCCATGGTTGATTGTGAAGAGTGGTGAAGCATAAATTAGATCCCATGGATTATTGATTGAATTATGTAGCTGCATCAATTGATGCCTTATCTGCTTATCTTCCTTCATTTATTTTTGATCGACTATGATGGGTATAGACAATATGAACTGTCTACTGCTTCTCATACATATGTATATTTGAATTGATACACATAAATATGGCCAGACATGAAGATTTCTTTCGCACAATAAGATCAATAAATAAATGTACTTATATGCTATCTCCCATTTCATCTTCCTTAATAATGAATAGGTTTGTCTTGACTCTTGCAAGCAGTCTTCTGTTTGAGCGAGTCAGCAAAAAAGTCCCAAAATTTTCACCCAAAAGACCATTTAGAAAAAGCCAAAAACTTTAGGCTTATTGCCTTATTACGTTTTAGAAAAAACCCTTTTATAAAGAAAAGGCCCATTTAAAATGTCACACCAAACACTTAGAAGCTCCTTATTTATTAAACACTTATTTGAAAAGCCCATTTAGAAACAATAAGCACTCTCAAACACGGCTTGGCTGCTTATTTATTAAGCACCTATTTGGTGAAAAGCCCATTTACACAAGAGACAGGCTTACATTGGGTAAGGAAACTATAAGATAATGCTTAGAATTAGAAAAACGATATTTTTTATATGAAAAGCTATGTAGACTGTGTTTGGTTGCTGTGCAAATTTATTTGCACTTGTACAAACGCATAGGAGTGCAACTGTAAAAAATGCAAATTCTTGTTTAATTTTGTTTTGGATTTTACTTTATTTTGCTTCATGTTTTAATTTACTTCATTTGTACTTCAATTAAATAAAATAAACTAAAATAGGTCAGAATTTAAATTCAAATAATTTGCACTGCCATGGTTTTGCATCAATGCAAATTTAGTTGCATTGCAACCACACACAGCCTTAATTAAATAATCATTGAATGACATAAAAGTAGGGGAAATGTTCCCTATGTGCAGCTGTTGTCATGAGGATAATAGGTCCTAAATCCCCTACATAAAGAGAAACTGCATCACCGGGTAGATGAGTTTAACTTGGCATACCTTTTAATAGGGTGTGGGATCAAATCCCCGTGGTAAGGTCGGTGGATCTAATGTGCACATGCTCTGTAATATCAGAGAAAAAAAAAAAAAGAGAGAGAGAGAGTGAGAATGAGCAATAGAGATGGAAATTTCACCCATCCCCGTGGGGCCCCACCCTTCCCCGCCCTGATCGGGGTGGGTTTTTTTACCACTGATTGGGGTTTGGGATGGGTTTAGGGAAAACCCAAAACTCTGAGGTTGGGGGCACTATTTGTCCATGCAAGGTGGGGCAAAGTCAGGGATCCTGGTTCCCCATGGGGGACAGGGATGAGGTTAAGGTTTTTTGTCCTGCTGGGATTCAGGAAAGGGAATTTGAATTTCGGATACGGAGCAGGCAAAACCCAGACCCACNCCCACCTCGCCCCGTTGTCATTCCCAACTGTTACTGAGCTATGGAGCCAACCATAATACTTCAAGCTAGTAATAAAATGCATGAGACCTACAACCATTTAATTTTTCGCTATAGATCATATATATTTTATCACAACCACTTTTCTATTTGAATGGTAGGTTAGTACGTTGTTCAACCATTTGGGTCAAATGGATCGACTCATAATATCAATTAAATGATGAAACTTTTAAAAATAGAAATATACAAAAGATTATAAAAAATACAAAAAATAGAAAATTTATATATTAATCATATCAAACAATAATTATTTTTATTAATGGCTAAATAAAGTATAAGATTTAAAACCAATGTAAAAATGAAATTTGTTTTCCTATCTAAGTTCTAGGTCAATGGTCTAACCTTCTCAATCAAATGAGTTAACCCAAGATGTCATTGTGATATTTAAAATAAGTGTAGACATTAAGATCTATAATATTATATATTTGTTATATTAAAAAAATAATGTCATAAGTAAAACTTATTCTTATTAATGATGGAAATGTAATATAAAAAAAAAGATTAAAAAACAGAGAACTTGACTCCACTAGCCAAACCAAATAACTCAATAGTTCAAGTAGTTAGGTCACCATGTCATTAACCGAGTCAATGGTGTTTTATAAGCAAGTAGTTTTTTTTTTTTTTGTTTTTTTGGTAACCGGTGTTATGCACCATTAATAACTTTCCCCAGACCCCTTTTTCCCCAAAGTGCTGATTGCGGGATTTGATCCCACATCACCGCTGGAACAAACCAGCTAACACACCAACGAGCCAGCCCTCAGATAAACTCAGTTTGTTATAAGCAAGTAGTTTGGTGGTATGGAAACCCAAAATCTTGATTAGGTGACAGATAAACTACTAAACTAATCAAACTAGTTGATTTAATCATGAGATAAAAAACACACATAAAAATCTAATGTTCTAAATATTGATGGAACTGCATTTCCTTCTCAATCAAACAAGTCAACTTGTAATTTCATAAATTAATAATAAAAATTATTGTCATGAATGATGGAAATGGCTCAAATAAAAAAAAAAAGAAATGAAAATTAGTGTCTCATAATATGTTGTGCTGTTCAAATAAGTCGACAATTCAACAAGGTCATATAGTTGTTGACCAAGTCAATTTTTTTTTTTGCAAAGTGGTTTAAGTTGAAACAAAACGTTGGCATGTAATATATCTACCTAATTCAACCGAAAACATTGACACATAAACCACAAGTATGAAGATTTTAAGACGGGCCTTTAGGTTAAAATGCAATATATCTAACTATGCACCATGATTCAATTCAAGTTGGTACGTATCATATTGGGAGCACCCCAATACACCCCTACAGAGGGTTTACCGGGGTTCTGACCAGTTCAGGGGTTGGAGGAACCTTAAACCGGCCCCCCTAAGTTAGTTTAAAAAAAATAAAAAAAAAGTAACGATACTGTCCAATACACCCCTACCGACGTATTGGACATATCAATATTTAAAACCTTGATTCAATTATTTATCTTTCTTATATTTTGATAAGAACAATGAAATTGTTGTTATTATCACTTCAAGTTGCAACTTACACATTTACTAGTTTCAATAAAGATTCTCGATTCTTTACCAAAAAAATTCTCAATTTTAGGTCAAAATAAATACACCAAAGATTTGAAGTATCGATATACAGAAGAACTTCGTATTGGGTGTTTAAGGACACGCTCCTCTTTTTTCTTCAAAGTATCGATATTTTGAACTTGAATACACTCAAGGCTTTTCATTTTGCTATATCCAAAGCCAAAATTTCACCGCATGGTTGGGCTGACTTCAATTGATTCAAATATATCAGCGCTAGGCAAAAAGCCAGAAGAGAAAAGAATACACCTAAACCCAATTTTCTATTCACTCTCTATCCGCCATGGTTTTTAAAATCGACCTGGAGATCGAACCAGTCAGGGGTTCGGTTATTGGGTCGAATGGTCTGTTCGTTTGAACCGAACGATTGGCCCATTCTAACAAAAAAATAAAAATAAATAAAAAACGGTCAAAACCATTCGAACAGTTAACCACCCAGGTCAGTGGTTTGCTGACCAAAATCAACGATTTTAGGCAAATTTCCAGTTTTGGGAAAAACCAAAACCAGTCATCTGACCGATTCTCAGTTTTTCTGGTCGGGTCTGGTTTTGAAAACAGTGCTATCCGTGCCCCACCCACAGTACACTGCAGTCGCGCATTTCACAGATGGCAATACAAGATGAGGATGTATGGCTGCAATTCAAGGCGGGTAGAGTAATGGGCAGGAAATCCGGTTTGATACACATAGGGCTTCGACAAATCATGCAATTAGTGCACTCTGTTTGGATACACCCTGCGTGTTCATCATTCATTGGCTGCTCATTGAATCATCATTCGAAAACCTAAAAATAATAAATAATAAATAATAAAAGGGAAAATCCATGATGCGGAAAAGATATGGTATGGGAAGAGTTTTGACCAATCAAAACCACCCATGAATTTTGATAAATAACACCTGATTGACTACCACTTTTATGATTCCAATTGACTGGTCAGAAGTTTTTCAGATATCATGTCTTTTCCATATCATAGTTGAACTCTAAAATAAAATACATGTAATTCAGTAATAGAATATTATGGTAGAACCTTCTGATAATCACATACGCAACAAGACAAATAGAACTAACATTTATTGCGAAAAATAAAATTATGTCTACTCGATTTTAAAAAACCGAAGGAATTGCCACTCTTATCCAAGGTCAGTTTGTGGTCATTTAAAGTAGAGTACGACCTTCATAAAAATTCAGTCACAACATACAAGGCTCTTCTCATGTACACCGGTGGGAATGTATATAGGCACCCAAGAAGGCCCTCCCCAAAGACTGTTGGTCCAACATGTAAATTAGGGCTAACGAAATCCAAGGATGCAGCCAAGCAAGATTTTTGTAGTTGAGACTGAGAGTCTTGAGACCAAAATGGATATTTTATTTCTGGATGCCGTGTAGGTGCAAAGTTTAATGTTTTAACATGTGTAGCACTAGCATAGGCCCTTTCTCCATCCAAAACAACCAGGACTAGTTAGCAAAAGACCAATGGAAGCTAGCTTTTAGGATTGATCAGGATTCTCTCTCTTCCAAGTCTCTCAGGAATTTTCTCACAGAACTGATCACATGAAGGGGACTTTCCACATGAACAGCATGACCACACTTGGGAACCTCAACAATATCATGGATTATTTTGTGTTTGTTATCTTTGTTTCCCAATCCATGGCTTATCTCATTGTGCATTTGCCGAGCAATTTCCTTGAACTTTTGATCCTTCTCCCCCACAATGAACAGGAGGGGCCTCTTGCATTGCTTCAAGTCTTCCCACAAGGACCTAGCATGAGAGGGGGAACCAAGTGAACATTAGTTTACTTCGCATTATAGGTGATAAATTCAATCTTTTTGTGAATCCTTACTGATCTTAGACAAGTCAGAGACTGGGACTTCACACTTCAGATGACCATATTGATCCAGCTGGAATAAGTCTTACTCATCAGCCAGTAGTTTTGATTAAAGTTTTTTCATGGCAATGGACCAAGTCAAAAAGTCTGAGCAAAGCTAATGTGTAATTGTCTCTTTCCATGTATCTAGAGAAGGGCCATTGCTCAGTGATGATCCCAGTTATCCCAGGGTCTTGGGAGGGATAGACTGGAAATGGACCTAACCTTCGACAATTTTTTTGGGTACAAAATGGCTGCTCTAAGACTCAAACCCAAGTCATCACACTTGTCATCCTGAGATTTCTCCATTGCACCAAGCAATGATTCACTGTGTTCCCACATGTTCAATTGGTAAACGAAAACATCTTAACTCAATGTGACCCCTCCCACCCTCTGGGAAACATAACCTTTGGTAAGCCGTAAGCAGGTAAGGCTTTAACACCTATGCAAAGTTTCTGGTTAAAACAAACTTCACATGGGGATTTCATTGCAGGACACACCATCTATAGCAATCTCAGAGTGCATAAACTACTAAAAGTTGCTGCTCACTAATAGGACTCAGAAAGTTCGCAGTCTTGATAATGTCTAGGGCTGTCAATAGGCCAGGCAGACCCAAACCCAAACCATCTATATATTTATATATAGATATAGTACAAAAATACCTCCCATTTTATACCTATTTTTTTCATGATATACTAGTAATATTATCATATTATGAGGTCTAAATGTGCCAATTTAACAAATAAGTAGGTTTGTTGTCAAATTACAGGTTAAAAAGATAGCTATCAATTATAATTAGCTCTTATTCAGTTAGACCCAATAATCCTGATTACAGATCCCATAGGGTCTAGTTTGGAATTAGTTCTGCACATTTCCTTATCTGGTCTGGGTCTATCCTGAACCAGACCAGACCTGGTCCATTGACAGCACTAATGTCAGGCACTTGACAATGGTCTAACTTCTCGAAAATTGTAATGGTTGGCACAACTAAATGTTCGATTGAAATAAACTTTATCTAATGGATACCAAGTGGTGCACTAATAAATGATCTCATGATTAAAGAGAAAAAAAAATCAAAGGATGAAGATTAGCTTACGGTTGCTTCCCAATGCTTAAACTGGACAGGACATTTGCAAGAGAGTGAACATCATCATGCTGTGCACGGTGGTCAACTATATGTTCAAAATGTGGATGATTACGTAAGCTGTCACATGAAAAACTCAGTCATGCACAAATCAAAGTTGCATCTTGAGTAAACTAAAGGTACAAGCCAGCATCTTTGCATGATAATGTAATCCAGATAATAGACAGAGGCATGAAACTAGGAATGTGGCATGAAAGAAGTGGTCAATCACCTATTCCAAAGTCCTCCAGCATACCACATATCCAGAAAGGATGGCAAGCCATGCACAGAAAGGTACTGTACTCTTGCATCATCTTCAGCTGTACGAATTCGCCTATTTTCCACATCCTTCAATCCAGGACTTCCTGATATTATGACAGCCCCATTGATCTTCATGAACAGGAGTTTTGTTTCTTTAGAAACTTCAACCTGATGTTTTATCTTGGAAACAACAAAATAGAAAAGAAAATCATATATTGAAGAGAAAATTGGTCTACCTTCTTGTTGCATCTCAGGGCCATATATAATGCAATCCTTGCTCCCATGGAGTATCCAACAAGGAGAACCTTTCCAGGAGTAATATCTTGAATCAGATTATGCAATACATCTGCAAGTACTTCAATTGAAATACCTGGTTCTACTTTTGCTTCTTTATGAGGACCAATTTGTAACAGTGATCCCCCATGACCTGGAAGATCAATTGAAATGCATCGTGCAGTAGCTGAAAGGGCCTTCATTATGGGTACCCAATCTTCACCAGTCCCAAGAAAGCCATGAAGAAAAATTATTACCTTATCCTGCACTAGCTCAATAAAGTTGATGAATGAGAAAGGGGGGGAAACTTTGGTGCAACTATATTCCCACTAAAGTAACATTTTCATATATAAAGAAATGAGGAGTTGGCAACTTGAAATGGGTCATAAGCTGTTTGTCAGACAGATAACTAAGAGTCTTAAAATAAATACTGAAAAACCACATAAATTGCTTCTTAAGGATGGATTTCATGCAAGTTATACATCAACTTCCTTCCATTCACATCAGCGGAAATAAATGCAAAAAGAAATGGGAAAATTGATGACCTTACAAACAAATAGTTGAAATAGATATGCACAAATAAGCACCCGGGCATTCATGATATGTGAACCATGATGGAATATAGAAATTCCATCGATTACATCAAAAGATATATTATTGTGGTTGGGCAATAGCCAACAAAATATGAAGAAAACTCAGCAGTTTACTTCAATGAATGCATCAAGGTACACACATTAGAGAAGCTTCCTTTCTATAAGAGGAGCTTCTGGCCTTCTATCCAAAATTCTAACAAGGAAGCAGCATGTGACATACGTACAAATTTAGGTCTAACCAGACAAACCTAATGGCCCTTTTCTTACCTGTGAAGTACATGATACTAGTTTATATGACTTGTCAACCATACGGTACATCAGATAACATATTCCCTTTAAAATGTATATAAAAAATGGATGCAAGAACTACTGTCTCCAACTGTAAAGAGATAGGCCAGAATCAATTGGACCTAATGGATTCTTTTCATCCTTTCTGTGGAGTCAAACCTCAGTTATTGTTGTAATTTAGGGATAATTATCTATGTAGTGAGGCAATGCATCCAAATTACTAGTTATATATTTGGCATTGTACCCAAATACACTTGTCTCTTGTAGAATCACAATTCATATGATATCTACATGCTCAAATACATTTGTTAAAGCAATCAATTAACTTACATCTAAACTTCTTCCAGCATCTCGCACTTTAAGGGAACAGGATAAGTCCTGACAACTAACTGTCAAATAATATGACCGAACTTTCTCTCCACTATAACTTCTTTGGATGGTTTCATGATTGATTTGAAAACTCTGAAGGAGCTGAGCAGCATCTTCAATAGATGCTTCTACACTATTGCGATGTGGATGAACACAAATCTTGAGTTTTTGGGTAGTTATGTCCTCTTTAAGCCATTGATATGTCCCAAGACCATGAGCTATCCTTGAGCTTGGGTCCTTGTTATTCACTTTACATATTTCAACATACTGCTGGTCAAGATAACGTGCAAACTGAATATATGCTGACAAACTAAGGCTGCTTTCAAATGCGCAACTGACAACTGCCATCTTATCATGTTTCTGAGCCCATTTAGCAATCAGTGCTGCATTTTCAAATCCTCCCACAACATTTGGTTTGATCACCTGACACAACCAATATAGTGGAATTAAATTATTGAAGCACTGAACAAATTCCTATTTAACAACCCTATCATTTTTCTCATAAGTTATAACAAAACAGCATTGACTTACAACAGCAACTATACATGGTTGCACGAACTCTGAAAGCTTATCAACAGGATCTTCTTGCATACTGTCAATAGTTTCATCCAGTGCAACAGGTAAACCAGTTTCTTCACAGAACTTGATAATGTCATCTACAGAATCCACAGGTTCCTGAAATAGAGGAAAAGGAAGCATATTTTGGAAACATTTAGTAGCAATGATCTATTGATTACAAAGGAAGTCATTCATGGATACTAAAAGTTTGCTAGCTTGAGTACTCAATTTTGGGAGGAAAATCTAAAGGCACTTTTGTAGCAAGTTCTTTCTATACTTCTTGTGAATAAAATATGGGGGTAACATTCCCAGGTCGAGAGGGCATGAGGAAATTGAATTCCACCTAGAAGTACAAGATTTTTCATGTTTGGCTCTGTTGCATAGAGTGCTGAGGTTATAACCTAAGACAAGATGTTTCCAATTGCTTTGTTGGTACACTATGTGCAAGTGAAATGAAGAGACTGAAACACGTATACCTTTGTTGTGGTTTAATAGTGACTTGTTGGCTGTGCCCCTTTCTTAATCTCTTTCTTTAGGTTGGTATGGGTGTTCATTTTGGAGATTCATCCAAGAAATGCCCAAAGTTTTTGAAGAAACATAAAAAAAAGCCTCCTTTCAATAGAAAACAGTTGTTTACTATTGCAATAACATTTATTTGTATGAAAATAAAAACCTAATGTTAGAATGTTAGAATGATGTCTCTTTGTATGAGTGTTCGGCTGATAAGAGTTCTTATTAGCCCATACTTAAGTTTAAGTTATCCTGTAACTGGGCCTGTGTTAATGGGCCTAAGCCTGTTTAATGTTTTAAGTTAACTGGGTGTCCCATCACTAATCAGGGGCATTCCAGTAAT